TGCAATTAATAAATTCTGTTGTCTTAAACCACCGAGAGTATAGAAAAACAGTAAAATTCAGATAAACAAAAGAAAAAATCACCCAGATTCTAAAGCCCAGAGGTTAACTAATTGTTACAGAAAGCAGTCTACCCTGACAAATCCAGACATGTTGCTGCTTTTAGTCAACCCACATTGGAATTAGTGGTAAAAAAAATTAGGGCTTGGTATTATTTTCTCTTTCACAATATCGTCCTCCTTTTTAGATACCTGCTGTGGAAAATAATAAGCTCTTATGTATACAGTGATTATATATGTACATAGAAAACTGTGTTTATGTGTAAGGTGTATTCTTCTCTACATACATCTCCCATGTAAATATTCATGCCAAAGGGGTAGGAAATTAACTTAAGTAAATAACTTAATCTTCTTTGATTTTGGATGATGTCAGCCTGTGGTCAGAAATGCACACTTCCATTTAAGGGAGCGACAGTTGTAACCAGTCATTCCATCTGTTCCCCAAATTCCTAGCTCCTTCGAAGTTAGGCAGAAGTGTGAGCAGAAGCCCCAGGTATTTCTTCTGGGGGGAAGCAGTGAAAAGCCCACCTGAGATTCTCTCGTCCGTGTCCCTGTTGCAGTTACCAGGGGGCTGGTGCAGCCACAAGTCGGAGAGCCTCCATAATCCTCTTCCTCTGTAATGCGTATGTGTGTGGCCCAAGCAAGAATCCAACCTTTCTTGCGTTAAGCACTGGGACTTCAGGTTAATTGGATAGCAGCACCATTAACCCATCTTGTCCTAAAACAAGGCTCACACAATTCTCTGCACCCTCCACATCAGCAGCTCAAAGCTACCATTAATCATCCTCAGACTGGTTACATGGGATTTGACTTTCCAGTTATGAAGGAAAAGGTGAGGTAAAGAATAGGACTTTAGAGAGAGGGAAGAGTTTCCTTCTTGTGGTGCAGGAGAGGTCTTACCAACACTAATAAGGGGCAGATATAGAGTTTGCTTTTTTTTTCTGGCCCCAAGTAGCTTATGAAATAAATTTAAATTACACTCACACTATGTGAACACCAATAATGGTGTATAGACATAAAGGTAGTAATGACAAAGAGGAAGTCAGGTTTCTTGCCCTGCTGGGCAAGCACATGTATCACTTATTTTCCACTAGTTGATAATGAAAAGTGATACATGGTAAGGAGTTGAGAAGTTAGTTTACAAAGAGAGACTATAAAATGAAGCACAGACCCTTTGCTCCTTTGGCGTCTGATAGCTTTAAATGAATCTCCTTACATCAATGAATGGTAATTTTCTATCCTATCTGAATTTTCTTATAATGAACTTATATTATTTTTATAATTAGAAAAATGTGTTTCTATTTTGGAAAGAAAAATCACCGTTAGTGAATGAAGAATTAATAACTTTCCTCCATGACTTGTAGGTAACAGCAGCTAACACAACGCTTCTCAGTTTCTTTAACTGTGTAATTCAAGGGCTGAGCTCCTGGAGGGCAGGTGCAGAGCTGTAATTTCAGCGAGGAGGCACATCCTAGAGGCTCAAATATGTGAGCTGCATATTGAATGACCCTACCTATGCTGTGAATATTTGTCCATCATCTCTTTCATTCTGAAATTATTCGTTTTAGGTTCAAGTGATATTCCAAACAGCTTTGTGGGCTCTGGACTTGCCCATAAGGTGACACTTAGCAGGATCCAGGGGTGAAATAATGGAATTGCCAAAAATATGATCTGAATTTCTTGTTAAACAGAAACCTCTGTGCATAGACTCCACTTTACTGGCATCATTACTCTCCTGGATAAAACCAAGCAAGCAGGGATCCCTGGGTGGCGCAGCGGTTTGGCGCCTGTCTTTGGCCCGGGGCGTGATCCTGGAGACCCGGGATCGAATCCCACATCGGGCTCCCGGTGCATGGAGCCTGCTTCTCCCTCTGCCTGTGTCTCTGCCTCTCTCTCTCTCTCTGTGTGACTATCATAAGTAAATAAAAAAAAAAAAAACCAAGCAATTATAATACCAATTCCCTATCTTTTCATACTTTGATATTGCCCAATTACTGCTTGTAGATAAGTATATCAGAAATCATCTTGTTACAGCTGTAGATAAAATTTTGTTATCCTATTAACAAAAGGAGCAGTTTGGCTCCTTTTTCCTTTGCAAGTTATTTATTCTCATTCCTTATTCTATGCACAGCTGAAGGTCATTTTCTAGATAAGCAATTCAGCCAATTTATTTCAATTTTCCCATTTTTAAAAAGTTTTGGCTACCAGCAATATAAGATAAGATTTCAGTTGTGATAAACCAAATTTCAAGTAAGTGGTAAATGAAAATTGCCTGTTACTGCGTAAGGTAATTTAAACTCTTTGTGGGAAGCGATTGGCATTTTGAATAAACCTTCTGTTGACATTGTTTAGCTAAAAATATTTGTTTTATTTTATTTAAATCCAATTTAGCTAAAACTGTTTTAAAGCCTCCATGAAGCTCTCTGTCTTTACATTTACTTTACTATTACCATCATTTTACTAGCTCCAAAACTCCAGCCAAGTCGCTCTGGCTACCTCTTTCTGACACCCACAGATGCATCCACCCCCACTCACCCACGCAAACCTACTCTGTGACTCACATTCAGAAGGATTGTCAAAAAATCCCCACTCCCTAACTAAAATGTTCCTTACACATGCTATTCGTTTGATCTATTTCCATGTATCTGTGAGTCAGCTGAGTCTTGTCTCATCTACCCAGTAGACGAGAGCCTACATGTATGTTTTTTTCAATATGGATTTGGCAAACCTGATACATATTCAAGCATTTGGGATCCTAAAAGCCTGGTGAGCAGTTTTTTACTCCCAACACTTTTGACATCAAATGTGTGGGCTTTTTCCTCATACCGACCAATCTTACAACTCCCCAGGCACCAACTGTGTGTCCTACAATTCAATTCTGGCACCAACTCCCACAGTTGGTAGATAGGTTAAGGGCTCCTTCCCATGAAACTGCCCCCACTTCAGACACCAATCACAAATCCCAGGCCAACCATATTTCTGACGGACAGGTTATAAGTTAATGGTTCCCATGACCCCCCCCCCCCAGGTTCCATAATTTGTTAGAATGGCTCACAGAACTCAGAAACAGTTTACTTATTATTTACTGGTTTTTACAAAGGATACAACTCAGGAACAGACAAAAGGCTGTTTGAGCAAAATATAAGTGGGATGGGGGCAAAGAGCTCCCATGCCTCTTCGGGCATATCAGCCTCCCAACACCTTGACATGTTCGCCCACCAGGAAGCTCTCTGAACCTCATCATTTAGTGACTTTTAGGTGGTTGCCTCACATAGGCATGAGTGAGTAAATCATTGACCATTGGTGATTAAGTCAATCTCCAGCTTCTCCCCCCCACTCCCCAACCCCCCACCTCCCCACTCCAGGGAATTTGGGAGAATGGGGCTGGAAGTTCTAACTCACTAACAAGGTTGGCTCCTCAGGCAACCAGCCCATGTCCTAAAGCTACCTAGGGGCCCACCCACAGTCCTCTTAGCGTATACAATTCTGATGTGATTGAAAGGGTCTGATTATGAATGAGAAAGAAGGTGCCCCTAACACTCTTTCAGGAAATTCTAAGGGTAGAAACTCTGTGTCAGGAACCAGAGACAAAGACCAAATGTACAGTATCACATTTGGGAACATTTACTATAAATGAATTCTTATCCAAATTCTGGCAATTATTTCTAATTTAAAATATTATTCTAGAACTGGCAACGTGTGTAGGGCTGTCATTTCAATTAGCCTGAAGAAAGAGAATAACTACAACTTAATATCATAAGCATCTACCTGGATTGCTATTAAGCAATTTCACAAGGGAAGGAAAAAAGGATGCAACTCATTTTATTCCATGACAGCAGACCATCATTTCGCTTAGATATAGAACTCTTTTATCCAGTGTCATCTAATATCTGAATCTGAATCACAGCTGGGATCCAAATATAAAGGATAAGACAAATCTCCAAATAAATGTACTAAAGCTTTTTTTTTGTACATTGCTCATAGGAGTGACCCTTGAGCATACACTCTATGCTCATTTGATTTAATTTTACATAGACTATTAACAAGTTTGTTTATGTGACTTACCAACCAGTCAGCCAATTGGAGAGCATCAAATTAGGACAAATTCAAAAGAGAGATGGAGTTATCTGCTATCTATCTGCTAAAGATAGATGGAGTTCTGTCAATATGAATGACAGCTAACAATCTCAGCAAAACATTTCTGAGAAATAAATATGAAATCTGAGGACATTTTGTAGGAATAAACCATTTAGAACATGCCAGGACTACCTGAGGGTATTGTAGTACGGAGAAGAATGGAGTTTTTTAATGATGATAATCATCACAAGAAAACTCAGTTTGGCTCTGAGAGTTCAAAATATGTAACCCATTTATTTGTATAAAAACAGTTTCAAGTAAATCTTTAATAAAATAAAATAATATGTATTAATTTTATTTAAAAATGTACTCTTTATTAGAAGAGCATAAAGAGAGAAATAAAAACTTTCACGTAACTGCTCCTACCCCTTCAATCAAATTCCACAGAAGTCCCTCCATTTCGGGTAGTTGAGATTTTTTTTTTTTTTTTTTTTTTTTACATTTGGTACTCAATGGGGGAAACTCCAGAAATCTAGGAAATTCATTTATCTGGAGAAACTATTTTCTTATAATCTCTGCTAAAAGAAGCAGGGCTATATCTATAACTCAGTCCCTATACACTAATCTGGTCAGGATGTTTTTGCTACAGAAAAAGATAACACCAGTTCCAAAATGGAGGTCAAAGAGGATATTATCTCTCCTTGATACTAGCCTTTCTATTCACATCTCTCTATAGCCACTATTCTAACTTCTCATTGGTTTTTTTGGATACAAGATAAAATTCTAAAGGAGTACCGCTGCTTAGCTCAAGGAGTTCAGTCATCAATGCCTGATGGCTCAACATCCTTTTTAAAATATGCCAACAAGTGCACCCTTCAGCAGCACATACACTAAAATTGGAATGATACAGAACAGATTAGCATGGCTCCCACACAAGGAAGACACAAATTTGTGGAGTGTTCCATATTCAAAAATAATAAAATAAAATAAAATAATAAAATAAAATAAAATAAAATAAAATAAAATAAAATAAAATAAAATAAAATAAAATAAAATCAGCCAACAAACCTAACAACACCTGTAGAGTGTCACAGAAAAAGAGTTAGGAAGCTTGATTGAGCAGGAGGGCTGTGCTGACCTTTTGGCCTGACCACTTCCTGTCCCCCATCCCCCACCCCATTCCTTTTTAAGCCTGGACCAGATGGAAAAAAGCACCAAACTTCCACCACTACCATCACCTCATTTTCAGACATAGTTTCTAATAGGAGCTGACTTCCCCAGGCCCTGAATAGTCTCAGTCATAGGCTTATCAAGCAAAGGCCTGATTAAGTCTAAGCAGAAACTGATGTGCACCAAAAATATCTGTCAGAATGAAAACAACCATTTCTTATTTGCTTGAGGGGTAGAGAAGGGTGTTTAAAACAATAGATAACATTAGGGTACAGAATTAAAAATATGCTTAAACCATTTGAGGTCAAAGTTTACTCAGCAAGAAACAAATTTCCATTTGTAACCACTCTTTTCTCAGGAACTCTGTATAGGTTGCAATTGAGACATAGCTATAGGAAACTCACAATTCTCACAAGTTGCACATGAATTTCTGATGCATTCAAAATACAGATTGGACTGAAGTTATCAAAATAGAATCATATTTCAAAATAAGAAATACTGTGAAAAAAAAAAAAAAAGAAATACTGTGAGTCAGGACAGTCCTACCAATTATAGCAACCCTGTTTCCGAAAGGCTTAGAACCTGGGTCAGCACAATGGTAGCAAAGCAATGTTTTATCAAAAAGGTGTAATTAGGAATGGATGGCAATATTTTAACCCCTCCTTCCAAGAGTTCCAAAATGATTTTTTTAACGTATTTATAAATATTTGCTTTTGTGCCATTTTAGAGGGAGCTTTCCATACAAACATTTGGCTTTCAATGAGTCATCCCCAGTCTGGTTCACACCCAGAAGCTTCCTGCTTGGCTATCAGTGAATATTGGGCTCAGTAGCTGCCTTATTTTAATAATTGGCTTGAATGAAGATGATAAAGGTGGTAGAGGGAGAAAGACGTTATGATAAATTTAAGAATGTTCTTGGCTCCTTACCAGAGTTTGACAAATATGCACCAATACCCTAACTACATTTGAACTTAGCTTAATGTTGGGATTGTGATGGATTTGTGTTTGGCCTTTTAAAAAACATCCAGATGATTATACCTGATGTTGCTACTTTTTTTAGTCATCATGTGTATTTGTTAGCTTAAGGACACCCCAGAATCCAAATTATAATATGCAATTTTACTTTTACTGTAGTAATTACAGTTATTGGATCCTAAAACCATCAACTAAAAGCAACTGGAAGAATAAATTACCCTTCCTCATATTTAAATGGAAAAGAATGAGGTCCTTAGTTAAGATTTTAATTAAATCTTTCTTCAGCTAGAATTACAGAACTTTTATGTAAATGAGGAAGCCACAGTGATAAAACATATGAATTAGTAATGAATCTCTATTTCCATTCCTAAAGGGAAAAATTTGGGAGTTGTATCTTGAGCACAGTATGTATCTTGGGGGTAAGAAGTCAATATGAAAAAACCCTAAAATTGTCAAGCATGAAAATGTGAATTACAGATTTTAAAAAAAAAAGGAAATAAGTACCTTGCAAATTATACAGTAAGTAGAATATATTGTGTATTCCTCTTCACTGGATTAGAGGAAGGGTTGCAAACTCAGGTCCTTATATCTTGAATTACACCCTATGCGTCTAGTCATACTTTGTTTGCATATTACATTTTAAATGCTTAGGAATGATTTTTGTTCTCTCTTGCCTCCCCAAAATACTCTTCCCATTTTTCTTGAAATGTGTATTTCTCTCTGTTTACATTTTATTCTTCCCAATTTTTATATGGTCTTGGATATAAAAATGATATCACTTTTTCTTCGCTTTTAAAAAAATGGTCTGATTCATACACTGGTGACTGATAACTGTCCCTTAGCCTTCATGTGAGAGAGGCAGTGAAGAGTGGTGAAAACTGTGATAAAATAGAAAGGCACATGCCCTCTTTGAGATAAGAATCCACTTCTAGGCACCAGTACATATGGCAATAGCCATCTTTCAACTCTTCAAGAGAAAACCTGAAAATATTTAAATATTTTATGGCTCAGTGCTTTAAAAACAAGAAATTCCATTTTAAGAGGCCAAAAACACCAACAATTACCACTGGAAGGTTGAGAGATTAAATATATGTACTTCACATTAGAGAAGGGGAGAGAGATCAGAGGTGCTGAGAATCTGGAAGTGGTTTCCCCCATGGTGGGCCTTCGGCCTCTCAGCCAACCACCAACACACCTACTGTATCATAGGACACTTGAGGTATATCAGTCATCCTGATCCTCTTACAGAAACATTTCCCCGACTTGCTCTAGAGTGAATGCTTCACACTTGAATTCATACTTGCTGGGATTGATGGAAAAATCTTAGGGTAATTATAACAATAACAATAATAAACTTATGTTGAGAATCAGGCACTATTTATTCTTTCACTTAACGAGTATTTACCGAATGCCTGTTGTGTGCTAGAACTATGTTTCTGGGATGTCTTAGGCAATTTGTAGGCATTGGAAATATATCCATTTTTTTAAAAAAGAAAAAAAAAGGCTCATCCTTATGGAAATTAGATTGATTGGGGAGACAAATAATATAATGAATAAGTACATTAGGTATATTAAAATGAATTAAGTATATTAAGTTATACCTAATAAGTACTATTGATAGATGGTGATAAGTGCTATGGAGAAAACTAAACTGGGATAGAGTAATATCTCTGGTCCCCTGATGTGTAACTGGAATGGAAATACTTGCTAACTGGCAGACCTTCCACACTGGTTTCTAGTACTATGGGATAAAAGCTGTATAAGTGGGGAAGACAAAGTGAAATATCTGAAATCAATTTGCCCCTCACATGATAGTAAATGAAAAACAGTAGCATGTCCTGGGGCAAGTGGCAGAGTGTGGTGCCACCATTTAAGACCTAAAGGAAAAAAAAAAAAAAGACCTAAAGGAAAAAAAAAAAGACCTAAAGGATATGGGGTGGTGGCCCTCATTTATCCCCATTTAATTCACCAGTCTGGCCCTTACAAAAATGCCTGATCCTGGGAAATAATAAAGTCAAACAAACAGTTGCCCTGATTGCAGTGACTATGCCAGAAGTAATGTCTGCTGGAAAAGATTAATATGGCCTCAGGTACCTTGCATTGATGAGCAAATGCATTCGTTTCCATCCCTATCAAGGAAAGGGAATGGGAGTATGTGAATGACAGAGATGTTTACAGTCTTGAGCAGGATTAAGTCTTTGGCCCTGTCATTATGTAACCGAAAGGACCCTAGACTGCCTGACCGTTCTACGCATCATCACAATGATCCACTATATTGAAGATACCATGTGTGGTGGTCTTTAAGTATGCCCACAAATTCTTTGAAATTTCTTCCTTCAAGAGACAGAGCTCAATTCCTGTCCCCTTGAGTGTGGACTGGCCTTAGTGACTTACTTGTAACAAATAGAACATTGCAGAGGTGATGATATAGGACTTCTAAGACATTACAGCTTCACTCTTTGCTCTCTCTTGGATCACCGACTGTGAGGGGGGTCAGGTACCATAGGATAAGGACACTGACGCAGCTCTTTCAGAGAGATTGATGTGGAAAGGCGCAGAGGCCTCCTGCCAAAAGCCATGTGAAGGAGCCATCTCAGAAGCAGACCCTGCAGCCCTCGTCAAGCCTCCAGATGACTGCAGCCCTGGACAGCATCTTTCCTCTAAGCTCCTAAGAGACCTCAGCTGAACTCCCTGGCCGACCTATGCTGTTGGAGGCCTCTGTGATGATGAAAGACGCTTCCTGGAGTACAGCAGCCCTAGTAAGAGAATCACTCTGTAGGGGTTAGCGTTCTGGACAATGTTACACGATCTATTGCAGATACCATTCAAAATATAGATCCTGATGAGCTACGAGGCCCTGGTAGATGCAGACCACTTGATCCTGGGACATCCAGGGGCTATGCAGCCGGCACTGTTTGTGATCTTTCAGATCCACTAAGTTGTAAGGTCACGTGAGCCTAACAGAAGTCCACTGTGAGATGGAAGTGGCATATTAGAGGACAAGCAAGCTGCGTGTGTAGGTGGCTTAGACTCCTCTTTCATCCACCACTATGGCACCATTGCCTGCCTCTCAGCTTACATTTGTGGTTTTGGGGGTGGAGGGGAGTTGGGGGGCCCAGGCAAGTTCCCTTATAATCAACTCATGGAAAAGGAAAAAAACCTGTCTCGATACACAACTGGATCAGCTTGGTATGTGGTGAAGCCAGAAATGAACCACTATATTATAATCCCCAACCAAAGATGGCCGTGGGAGACAGCAGTGATGGGAAGAGCGTTGGTGGTACGTCTGGTCATCTACATTGTATGGAAAGAAAAGTAGCCTGAAATAAAAATATAAGACTTGTGTGATGAATAGTGTAGCTGGTTAGTCAGGGGTTTGGAAGGAGAAAGATTAAAAAATTGGGAACAAGCAGGTCTAGAGAAGAGGCATGTGGATAGACTTATGGGAGTCCATTCCTCCAGCTCCTGAAGTATTGCAGAACTCCTATCCAGATTATATTAGAAACCCTTCACATCTCAATTACAAGGAATGAAATAACTCAATTTAAAAATGGGCAAAAGATTTGAACAGACACTTTATCAAAGAAGATATATGGATGACAAATAAGCACACAAGAAGATGTTCAACATCATTAGGCATAGAGAAATGCAAATTAAAACCAAACTGAAACACTATTTTGTGGTTAGGAGAATAGTTGAAATTAAAAAGACTGAACACACTGTACACCTAAAATTAATACAATGTTATATGTCAATTATATCTCAATTTTAAAAATTTTTAAAAGACCAAGCATGCCAAATGTTGGTGAAGATATAGAGGAACTGAAACTCGTTCTGGTTCTCGATATAGAGGAACTGAAACTCGTTCTCGTTCTCGGACTTCTGGTGAGAATGTAAAATACTTTTTAAAAAAAGATTTATTTATTAACTTTAGAAAAAGAGAATGGAGAGGGGTAGAGGGAGAGGGAAAGAGGAATTTTAGCAGACTCTTTGTTGAGCTTAGAGCCTGATGAGGGGTTTAGTCTCACAACCCTGAGATCATGACCTGGGCCAAAACCAAGAGTTGGAAGCTCAACCGACTGGGTCACCCAGGGGCTCCCAAGAATGTGAAATACTTTGGAAAACAAGTTGGCAGTTTCTTTACAAGTTACATGTATACTAACTAGATATAATTCGGCCATTTCATCTCTAGTCATTTACCCAAGAGAAAAGGAAGCATATGTTAACATAAAGACATATATCACAGATGTGCCTACATAAAGACCCACATGTAGAAAGTGTTCCCAGAAGCTCTACTTATAAAATCCAAAACTGCAAACAACCCAAATATCCTTCAGCTGTAAACAAATTTCATAAATCAATACAATGGAATACTACTCGGCAGTGAAAATAAATGAACTCTAGAGTCACACGACAACATGTATGAATCCAAATTAATTATACTGAGTGAAAGTAAGCAGACCAAAAAAGAAAACTTACTGTCATGAGTCTATTTATCTAATATTCTATAAAATACAAATTAATATATCGTGACAGAAAGAGATTAGTGGTTGCCTACTGATAGGGTAGCAGGTTGGAGGGAAAGAGGAGGAATTACAAAGGGGCATAAGGAATCTTTTGAGAATATGCTCATTAATTTACCAAATTGTACATGTTGAAAATGTGCAACTTATTGTATGTCATTATACTTCAATTAAGTTTTTAAAAGAAAAAAAAAGATTAAATCTCAAATCCCTGGGCTCAAAGACCATAATCTGGAAATGTTATTCCCATTAACTCACAAGAGAGTGACCTGAAGCAAGCCAAGGAGCTTATGCCATCTGGAGGGCAGGTGAATGTGGCAGGTTGTTGGGAGTTTTAAGTCAGGAGATAAGCGGTATTCACTCATTCATCTGAAAAAAAAAAGTGTATTTGTATGTCTGAGTGTGTGTGTGTGTAATATCTACTATGTGGCGCCAGATATTATTTTAGGATCTGGAGACAGAGTTGAATCTGATGCAAATTCTCTCTGAAGTCAGGGTTATGAAGCTTGGAGGTAAATGGAGCTTCTTAAGCCTGAGACCATCCAGAAGCACGTGAGGGTCTGACAGGATGAGCTGTGAACATGGAAGGGTCAGCCTTCGATCAGACAGCCGGGTTCGGGCATTGAAGTAGAGTTACATTGATCCAAGAGGTGTTTCTGAGGATCCACATTCTGGCCCTTTGACATCCAAGCTTGAGTCACTTAGCAAGGGTTGTGGGCTAGGAGCAGACTTCCTGACAAGGGTTAAGGTGAGATAGATTCCCCCCAAATATGTCTGTGGAGTAAACCAAAGAAAGAAAGGAAGCATGTAGGGAAATGATCAATGTGAAGAATACCGAAGAAAGTAGCTGGCTCAGAGCAAAAAGTCTACAGTAGAGAAGAGAGACAAAAAATGCACTGGGAAACAGTTGGGTGGGAGGGACGGTGGACACAAACTGGAATCTGAGAGGCTCCTACAACCCAGTCTGAACAAGTGGAGCTCAGTAGGTGCCAGACAAGGATTCGCACAGATAGGGAGCAGAGGATGGATGGGAATCCTTTCTTATGTGAACCCAGGAAATACAGCCAAGGACCCACAGCCAATCAGAAGAAGGCCACTGTTAGACCACATGCCAGAAGGAGGAACCAGCCCTCACTCACCAGTAGGGACACAGATGATGGTAGAAGAGTGAAAGTCAAGGAATTTTTTACAAGGAGCCAAGGAGAAGAAGATATCCAGGTCAGAGCAGAAATCGGTGCCTGTGGGGTGCTGATGGGAGATGTTCACCTGGGGTCATGCTAAGAGGGCTAAAAGCCAAAGATTATAGCCAATTTTAAAAGAGGTTATAACACGCAGGGACTAGAGTGGGTCAGAGAGATAAGAAGTTTATCAATAGATCTTTCAAGGACAGAGGCTGCTTTTGCGATTGCCCAGGAACTGACTCTGCCCATTATGTCATATTCCTACAGAGTCATGTGTTAGTAGCAGATTACTGGGGGCCTTCACAGCCAAGCAGAGGAGTTTAAGCATGAAGTAATAGGCATGAAGAACAACTACAAGCTTTTAAGCAAGAAGCACAACAAATGAAAAAAAAAATCAATCTGTCAAATTAGATAGAGAAAGAGATAGCTTGTCAAAGAAGGCCACTCAGAAAGCTGTCACAGCATCTCGGGTTACAGGTGACGGTGGCAGCTATAGGAAAAGCAGTTGCTATCAGAGAGGTGGGAGAGGAAGTGGGGTTGTAGGAGATTAAGAAAGAGATGAGCTGGTTGCCTCTGTGGTAGACTAACAAGTGCCCGAACTGTAGGTGGATACTATATAATAACACAAATATAGTCAAGCGTTAATTGGAGAAAATCGGTTGTGGGCCATGGCAGGATTCACAGTGCATATAGTGCCTTTAAACTGTTTGTATGTTTAAAAATTTATACAATAAAAAGGCAAGAAAAAGTGACCCAAAACTATGCCCCTTTTTCTACCTGGGCCCTTGTATTATGATTTTACACATTCTCTTGTCGGATAGTGGGTCTCTTCTGCTCTGTGAATCTGAATTGATCACGCAACTTGATTTGGCCAGTGTGAGACATTAGCAAATATGACGTATGAAAAGGCTTGAAGAGCATTGGGATTTACCATTTTTCTGATCTTGGGAACTTTGCAATTAGCATCGTATAGATGATCTTGGACCAGCCTGTTACGTGATGATAGACTATGGCCTAGTTATCCTCATCACTCTAGTCAACAACCAGCCAATCTCCGGACATGTTTGTGGAACCATTGACTGCCAGCTGATCACAGCTGTATCAGTGAGCCCTGCTGAGAGAAAAATTGCCCAGCTAAGCCCATCCTAAATGGGCAACCTGCAGAATTATGACCAAACAATTGGCTACCATTTCAAGCCACTAAGTTAGGAAATTTGCCCTGCAGCAGAAGCCAACTGATACATTCTACTAGGTATGCCTTTGACTCCATTCCAAGGGACTCCATGCTGAGCCCTGTCTCCATGTGCCTCTGCAAAGTTTCAGGGAGAGACCAGTGGTATCTGGGGGTGAGAGGGATGATGACATGATTTAGGGACAGTGTGACATGAGAGGATGCCATGCGGTGGAGCCAGTGTGACATTAGGGCAAGAGTCAGTGTGACATGGGGGAAGGCTCAGTTTGTTAGGTGAGAGGGGTCTGTGGCCCAGAGAAGAGGGAGTTTATTTTGAAGCTGAAGGCCAGTAAATGTCACACACAGGGGTGAAGATCAGCCACGCTGAGTGAGGACAGGTGAGTAAACAGAAGGGGGCCGGGGCTGACGTATTACTGCCGACTGTGGAATAAGGCAGACACAGCTGGCCATTTGAGATTTCTCTTTGCTAATAAGGTGAGCAAAGCTCTTGGCTTATAGGACATGCCTCTGTGGTCAGGCATTTCATTTAGAAAAATTTCCCAGACTACAATGGGAGGGCAGACACCTAGAGAGATGGGGTCTGGCTGTCCTTCCTCCCTTTGGCGCCATCCTCCCTTGGTTCAGAGCACTTGGCCCCCTTGAATATCCCCACCCCACCTTTATATTTCTCCCTTTGCAAAACTTCCAGGAGATCAGGCTTTTTGGTAGTTTATTCCCTTTCCAGGTCTCCCCTGCAAGAGGGCATGGAGATCAGAGACATGAACCACCTCTTTCTAATCTTCAGCATTCTGGCAGTGGCTGGTGAGTGCAGGTTCCCGTTTTTGGCTTAAAACTTTGAAAATGTCATATTGGAGAAAAGTGTAGGAAATGGGTCTAGATAAGATGGGTGAAGAGCACATTAGAAAGATAAAAAAGATAAGACTTTAGGATCCCGGTGATTGGAAGTTTCCTAGCACACTCAGCTGTCTAGAGCCCACTGATTTTCCTCTGGCTGCATGGCTATAAGAGAAGATGCAGACTGGGACAGTAAGACTTGACACAATGGATGGTGGGTATTGGCAAAATTTTGTGATTTTGCTAATATAGCTAGGAAGGAAGCTTGAAGAAAAGAGAGAAGAATCAAGCTGAAGGAAGGAAGGAGACGGGGAGTGGAAAAAATGAAGCTACCAATACAGAGGGAAGCCTAAGGGGAAATTAACAGAAGGACCCCGAAATGGTTCAACAACACCTCAAATATCAATAATACATTGACCATCTCAAAGCACTTCCACATAAAATGTTTCAGACTTTTGTCTTCTGGAATGTCTGCCTGTCTCTAATATTCTGTCCTCCTTTCCCGACTGTAGTAACAACAAAAACTCTAAAAGCAACACCGACACAAGTAAAGTTAGCCCAGCAGTTCAGTCAGATATACAGCAAAATGGCACCAACCTTTTTGGTTTTCCTGAACTCAGAATATGAGGCTTGTCTGGGGACCCTGATCCATAAACAGTGGGTTATCACTGCAGCCCACTGCTTCTTACCGTGAGTAATGGGGGTCCTAGCAGGAGAAGCACTCCCCCCTTGGTCCCTGGGATTGCTAAGGGGAACTGAGGCTCAGCCCTAAAGAGACTTGCCCAAGGGCTCTCAAGCCTGAGAAGTGATTGGAAGGAGTCAGGAAATAAGTGGTTGTGAGTTAGATTTCTGGGCGGGGTGATGTAGACAGGGGAACTGGGGAAGTGGAAGACCAGGGGATGAATCAATAAGGAAGAAAAGCCTATATCCAGTGTGGTACAGGTCAGAATAACAGAACTGCAATAGAAACTTCTCACTTGCCAGACAAGGAAATGGAGGTCTTGGCAAGTTATGGAAGGGACTCATGCAAAGTCAGAAAGCAAGTTGGGGGAGAAAGGATACAAGGTGACGATAGACTGATATCTCCTGCCTCTACTAATCCTTCGTGGCCTGTTCCAGATTTCTTGAGATAAACATTGCTACTTCAAAAGACAGTTTCCAAAACAAGATTGAAAACCTAAGGCCCATGCTTACTGTCCAACACCCAGATTTTACCCGGAATTCTGCTGAGCATGACCTCATGCTCATCAAGCTGAGTCATCCCCAAAAGCTCAACGATCAGGTGAAGCTGGTGGCCCTGCCCAACACCACAGATGACAGAAGAGGGGAAAAGTGCACTGTCTCTGGCTGGGGCTGGGAATGGAAGGATTCCAGTGAGTGGCCCTCAAGACAGAACTTAGTGCTCCTTAAGCAGCCACTCACAGAGGATTATCACACAATTATTATTGTAGATCATGAGAACTGGAAGAAGCCCGAGAACTTATAGCTTAACCTCTAGTTTTATTCATTTGGAAATTGAGGCCCAAACTTGTAACATGACTGCTTATGGCTGGAGATCGCTGAAATCCAGCGTTCTTGCCTCCCTTTTCCCCCAGGTGAGGGTGAAAAGGTATCTGGGTGGGGAGGGAGTTTGCAGGTAATCCCACTGGATGCTGAGTGTGGTTCATTCATCAGAAACTGAGAGACCAGCATTCACTAATGAAAGCATGCACACACAAGCCCAAGTTACGCAGTTTATGACACTGGGACCAGACCTTGGTTTTCTCATTTCACTATGTTTATTTTTCTCTGGTTACTTTTCATTTTGTGTTTTTCTTTCATTGAATGATGGAGAGGTTAATAACAGAAAAAGAGGGAGGGAAGGGAAGAAGAAAGGGAGATGAATATGTGAGGATCAAAGAGAAACAAAGCCTTTTCTCTCTCTCTCTCTCTCCCCTTCTGTGTGTGCGCATGCACACATACACTCGTGTGCTCAGGCTCAGAGCCTGACGTCCAGATAAACCAGACCGTCTTTTGGTTCTCTAATGATGACTGCAAGGAGTCCCCTGTAAGACAAATTCCTGTTCAAATCACGGAGAACATGTTCTGTGCAGGATCATCTCTGGAGAACAAACACATGTGTAAGGTAACTCTTTTCCCTCTGCCCCCTTTGAGTTCAGTCTAGGACACTGTTTTGGGGTCCACATATCTTCCTCGACCAAGCCAATTTCCTGTCTCTACATTCAATAGTAAATGGGATCCAGGCAAATGAGATCAAGGTCAATGGGATCCAGGAAACAATGTGTCCTTCTAATAATGAAGGAAAATAGATGCTAGGGCGGAAGCAGCTCAGAGTGTTCTTAGTTCTTTATGGCTAACTCTGATGTGCCCTGGAATGAGTGGTGGGATGGACCCAAGATGTCCTCCAGATGTTTCTCCCAGCCCTTACCACCTAAGTCTTTCTTTCTTTTGTTTTCTTTAACCCCCTAAGCAGATCCGATGTGCCCCAATCGCCCCTTCCACCACCTAAGTCTTTCCATCCTGGACTCCTCACATGGGACTTGGCATGAGGCACTGAGCAAAGGTCACTTTGCTTTGGCTATCCTGCCTGCCCCATCTGTTCTTCTTCTAACAGGAATTAGCAGCTGCCCCAGTCTTGTGCCAAAATCAGCTCCAAGGCATCCTATCTTGGTCAGCAGGGTGCATTCTGAGAGGTGATGTCGGCTACTACACCAAGGTTTCCCGCTATACAGACTGGATCCGCAAAGTCATCCACAGCAACTGAGCTCTCTCCATTCCCTATCCCAGTGGCCTCAGACCTGGGTCTACCATCCTTGACCATTCCTTTCCCTCAGAACGAGATGGCAATAGAGTCTGGCTATCCGAAAGTTTATGCCCCTTCTGTTTTCTTGACTTCTCTTCTCCTTTCTCAGTCCTACCCTGAATGATCATCAGATTGAGCTGGATAACATTCTCCTACATAAACCAGCTTCTCACTGCTTTCTTCCTCTCCTCCAACTTCCTACTCACCTGCTGTACTTTCCTCAGACTTTTATGGAGCAGTTCTCCTTCAACCTGTACCCCCCAAAGGGCATATGGGCCTCAGGAATGTGATGGTGAGACTGTGGCACCTCTATAGTGACTCCTTTGACCTCACTTAGTGCTGAGCCAGGCCTCTGAGTCAGGTCTGTGTCTTCTCACTCCGTCATATCTAATAAGGTTTGGCAAACACCGCGATGGTAAGCAGACTGATGGCAACATAATTGTTAGAGACAGAAGCTAGAATTTCATGACAACAAGGACTAAAAGGGTCTCCAAAAGGGTTAGAAGATGAAGCAGAAGTGGGTGCACAGAGGAGTTAAATGGGTCAGACCACCAACAGGAGGAGGGATGATCTCCTGAGAGATCTTTCCTAATGCTAAGCACAGAGAAATCTAAGCTGGCTGGAAAGAGAATGGTAGAAGGATAATAGGGGAACATTGAAACCTAGGTGAGTATAATTGTGTTTGTGTGTGTCTGCGAGTGTACATATGCACATATGTGTGTATAGATCGGTGGACATGTGTGCAAAGAATGATCTCACTGAACCAACCAAAATCTATCCTACACCAATTGCCAATTCAGCTAATTTTCCCCAAATCCCACATTTATCTATCTGCTCTTATCCTACCTTCTCAATTATTAAATTTTAAAAAACTAAAATAGGTCCTATTTTTTATTACAATATTTTATTTTGAAATTAGTTAAGATAAGAAATTGTAAATATATATATATATATATATATATATATATATATATATAGAGAGAGAGAGAGAGTTTCTGGGCACCCAGACTTGCCCCATGGATACTATTTTCTATAACCATAATAAAATGTCAAAACCAGGAAATTTAATGGTGTCCATTCAGATACAGATTTTATTTGGATTTCACCAGTCTTTCTTTACATATATTCTTTTTAAGGGTGAAATTTGAAATCTTATCACATGTGTAGATTCCTGTAACAGTTACCACAAGGAGAATCCGAAGCAGTTCTATCACCATATCACCAGAAAGAAACTTCTTTGTGTTACACTTTAATAATCACACCTTTTCCTGGCCCCAAACCATGCAACCACCAACCTAGTCTCCTTCAGTACAATTTTGTCACTTCAAGAATGTTCTATAGTATGCAATCTATATAATTCCACTGCTTTTTTTTTCCATTCATGATGTCCCAAGAGTCCTTTCATTGTCATTTCCTTTCTGTCTGAATAGCTTTTTTAAGTCATTCTTTCAGAGCAAGTCTGCTGGGTGACAAATCCTCTGAGTGTTTCTTCACCTTCTTTCTTGAGGGATATTTTTTGCTGAATATAGAACTCTGGGTTGACAGTGCTTTTCTTTCAGGGCTTGGAAAATGTTTGCCTCTTTCTTTTGTCCTTCAATGAGTTTCTGAGGAGAAATCTGCTAGCATGTGATTCGTTGTTTCCCAGTTGGTAATGCCTGCTTTCTCTCTGGCTCTGGCTGCTTTTGAAAGTTGGTTGGTGTTGTTTTTCAGGGATTTGATTATAACATGTCTGCGTGTGAACTTTTAAGCTTATTCTGTTTGGGGGTATATTCAGTTTCTTGAATCTGTAAGTTTGTGTCTCTCACCAAAGTTGAGAAGTTTGAGCCATTATTTCTTCTGGTGTTTTTCAGCTCAGTGTTCTTTTCCTTCTTCTGAAACTTTGATAACATGAATGTTAAATTTTCTGTTACTATCCCACAAGTCCTTGGGGATCCATTCAGTTTTTAAAATATCTCTTTTCCATCTGTTGTTCATATTGGTAATTTCTACTGCTCTACCTTCAAGTTCACGGACTCTTCTGGCTTGTTGATTTTGCTATTGAACTCATTATCTTAATTATGTTTTTATTTTCCATATTTACGATGCTTTCACATATTGGGAGTCTTGCTGGCTAGGGAAAGAGTGCCCCGCCCAGAGCTAACTAATTCCCGGAGGTAGTAAATGACTCTGTCTACTACATACAAACCTACCAATCCAGAGCTCTACCTCAACCACCAACTCTAACTAACTTTCACACACCAAGCCAATATTTCCCCTGCTCTGAATCACAGTGGGGTCAGGTACTGAACAACTAGAGATCACCACCATAGCCCAGAGCCTGCTGAAATTATTCAAACTATTCATTCCTAAACTTGCTCAAACTTGACTATCCTGCCTCAGTCATTCTTTCTTTTGGTTTCCAAATAAAGGCTTGTGGCTGTGCTTTCCTCTTGCTCCTCCTGCCTCAGGACTGACCCTGGTACTTCCTCATGTAGCTGTGCATGGTACGGCATGCCTCTTAATAAACCCTTCTTTCAATGGCACTGACCTGGCAGTGTTATCATTTAGTCACTTTTAGAAATTAAATCATAGGTTCAATTAAAACACCCATCTAGGGCAGCCTAGGTGGCTCAGCGGTTTAGTGCTGCCTTCAGCCCAGGGTGTGATCCTGGGGTCTTGGGATCGAGTCCCACGTCGTGCTCCCTGCATGGAGCCTACTTGTTCCTCTGCCTGTGTCTCTGCCTCTCTCTCTCTCTGTGTGTCTCTCACGAATAAAATCTTTTAAAAAAATAAATAATAAAAAATAAAACACCCATCTAATGAATTTTTTTATTTAAATTTTATATTTTTAAATTCTAAAATTTCCATTTGGTTTATCTTTATATCTTCTATAAATATTTCCTAAGATTTTCTATTTATTTTTATTTCATTCAAGAGTATTTATAATTGTTTATTTAAGGAACGCTTTTATAATAGCTTTTTAAAATCCTTGTCTGATAATTCCAACATCTTTGTCATCTTGGTGTTGGCATCTGTTGATTATATTTTCTTTCTTTCTTTCTTTCTTTCTTTCTTTCTTTCTTTCTTTCTTTCTTTTTTTATTATATTTTCTTACTGGAGTTGAAATTTGCCTAATACGGTGAGCAATTCTGTATTTATATATCCTGGACAGTTGACTATCATAAGACTCTGGTTCCTATTTAAATATCCTAATTGAGGGGCACTTGGGTGGCTCAGGTGGTTAGGTGTCTGACTCTGAATTTTGGCTCGGGTCATGATCTCAGGGTTATAGGATATAGCTCCATGTTGGGCTCTGTACTGGGTGTGGAGCTTGCTTGGGATTCTCTCTCTCCCTTGCATTCTGCCCCCCCCCCACTTGCTCTTTCTCTCTCTCTCTGAAAAAAGATATCCTAACTGAGCAATTCTAGCCCACTTTTGTGGCTGTGATTCAAATGTCAATTTGGTTTATAAAGCTTCTACAGTGTTTTTCAGTGGGAGTTGCTGTGACAGAACAATGACCACCCTCGCTCCCCAGTGTCTACAACCTAATCCTTCGAACCTGTGAATATGTTACCTTCCATGGTAAGAGACTTTACAAATGTGATTAGTTAAGGATCTTCATATGGGAAGATTACCCTGGATTATCAAGGTGAGCCCAATGTAATCACAAGTGTCTTTATAAAATGAAGGCAAAAGGATCAAAAAAAAAGGGGAGATGTGATCACAGAAGTAGAGATTGGAGTTATGCTTTAAAGATAGAGAAAGGGGCCGTAAGCCAAGGCATGCAAGCAGCCTCTAAAAACTGGAAAAGGAGAGGAAATGGATTCTCCCCAAAGCCTCAGAAAGGCTTCCAGAAAGAAGGCAGCTCTATGGACACCTTGATTTTAGCCAGCAAGAGCCATTTTGGCCTTCTGATCTCCAGAACTGTAAGATAATAAATTTGTGTTGTTTTAAGCCACTAATTTTTGGGAATTTTTTATTATAGCAACAGGAAACTAATACATGGTGGAAGTCAGAATTCTGACAACCAGCCCCACTCCTGCAGCACTGTAGGGATGAGGGAGTACAAGGCTTTTTCATAGGGTTTGTCTTGAGAACAAGGAAATTACCAATAACTTAGTGGTTTAAAACAACAAAAATATATTAGCTCAAGGTTTCCTTAGTTAAGAGTCCTATAGCTCAATGTCTCATAAGGCTAAAATCAAGATATAGGCCCACTCCATCCCCTCCTGGAGGTTCAACTAGGGAAAGCTCCACGTCTACCTCTTTCATATCGCTGGCAGAATTTATTTCCTCCCGGTCATTAGACTGAGGTCACTGAGTCTTACTACCTGTCAGCAGGGGTCTACACTCAGCTCCCAAACTCTCAGATCTTTGCCATGTAGACTCCTCCATCTTAGCGACAGAAGACCACCCTCATGTCAAATGCTTCTCACGCTTCAGTCTCTCTGACTTCTCCCCCTTCCACTACCAGGCAAAGAAAACTCTTGACTTCTAAAGGGCTCATATGATTATACCAGGAGCACCTGGTATCCATATCTGATTTTCCACCATGCCGTATAACATAGCCTAACCACAGACGTCATGTCCTTCAAACTCACAGTTCTAGGTCAGGGCATGTACTCAATGGTAGGAACCTTGGGGGGAGGTGGGGAGGGGCTGGGGGTACAACTTAAAATTCTGCCTACCACATATAGTTAAGAAGTTTCTGTTCCACTGGGCTTCCCCTGTCCCAGTCCTTTGGCTAGAGAAATAAGGTTTTTTAATTTTGTTGTTTTGTTTATTTGTTTTTGTTTTTTTATCTCTGCCCACTGTTGTTTCCAGGTTACAGATATTTTTAGCATATAGACCTGGATATATAGAGGGCAAGAAAAAAAAAAAACAGGAAGTTCACTACCAGGTCATTCCTCAAGTCTCAAGATGTCTAGCTAATTCACTTTTCTCCCACTTTTCAGATCTTCTGGTAAATGACTTGTATATTT